AATTTTTCTTTTCTTTTTTTTCAAGACCAAGTCTGACCCTGTCATCCTGGCTGGAGTGCAATGGTGGGATCTCGGCTCACTGTAGCCTCTGCCTCCTGGGTTCAAGTGATTCTCTTGCCTCGGCCTCCCAAGGACTTGGGATTACAGGTGTGTGCCACCATGCCCAGGTAATTTTTGTATTTTTTTTTTTTTAGTAAAGATTTTTTAGTATCGGGGTTTTACCATGTTGGCCAGTCTGGTCTCAGACTCCTGACCTCAAGTGATCTGCTCACTTTGGCCTTCCAAAGTACTTGGATTACAGGTGTGAGCCACTGCATCCAGCCCAGTCTTGTTTAATTTAAAAGCTGCTTCTGCAGGTCAAGATTTTGACATAATTAATATTCCTAAGGTCAGCTGGAAAATCTGAGGGAAAAGATATCAACCTTTACTGAGCATCTGAATTACCTCCGGGGCTTTTTAAAAAATAGCTATTTGAAGTCTACAGGGGTAGAGAGTGGATTAGTGGGTGCCTGGGGCTGGGATACGAACAGGATGTGAGTGAAGATGGGTACAAGGATCATTTCTGGGTGTTACAAGTGTTCTAAAATCAGACCGCGATGATGTCTGCACAACTCTGCCAATGTACTAAAAATCATTGAATTGTACACTTAAAATGAGTAAATGTTATGGTATGTAAATTAAACTGCCATAAAACTTTTTTAAAGATAAGGAATAGAAAGGATAAACCATAAAAGTTACACCTGTTGAGTGGCAGAAAAAATAGCATCATTCTTAACTTTACAAATAACTGAATTTTTTAATCATAGATTTCAAAGTTTTTAATATACATTTATAGAATATCACACTCAAAAGTACAGCTTCCTAGACCCACTCTAATACATTCAAATTCACTTGTCTAGGTAGGGTAGGACCTGTCTAGGGTAGGTTGTCAAGAATTCTTTTTAAACCTCTCTAGGTTACTAGAGAGTGTAGTCAGGATTGAGTCATTGATGTAAAACCACAAGGAAAATAAAATAAGTAAGGTATCCCTTTTCTCACTTGATTTATCTCATTTTATTTTACCCCTAGTCATTGGGGATCTTGTCATAAATGAAAATTTTCTGCCAAAAAATTTTTAGAATCATGGCACGGGTAGTAATTTAGGTGCCATAAGTGAGATAGTAGGAAGTTCATGAGTTTAACAAAGAGAGTAGAGTAAGCAGCCTTAAAGCAACCACGCAGTGGGAATATCTGTCTTGAAATATCAGTCAGAATACACCTTCAGAAATCATACATCCCAGGGATGTTCCAGGAAAGTGTTCATTTCAAACACTCTGTTCCACTGAGTTCATAAACCATGAGAATATTGTAGAGGGTAAGAACTGGGGAAGTGGAAAATGGAGAGTCAGAAGAGAGAGGGGATCTTGTATTTCACTGTATGCCAATTTGTAATGCTTGAGACTTTTAACCACATACCTGTGTTAATTATTTTAATAAACAGAAATTATAATGCTTCAGCTTCCAAAATACTTCTCATAGGATTGCCTTTTACACAGGGGAAATCCCATTAATTTATAATTTAACCTATGTGGGTTCAATCCTGACGTAACAGAAAAGTAAACTGAGGCAAATGTAGATTATATTGCTCTCAGTCTTTCTTTTTATTTTTGTGTTTAGGAAGAGAGTTGGAATCTGGACTCCACCCCCGGTAATGTACAGTCTATTTAATGAGGAGGTGGATAGTGCAGTGGTTAATGTATAATTTGAAATCAAATAGATCTATGCTTAAATTCTATTTCTATCCATAATTAAATATGAGACCTTGTCCATATGACTGAACCTCTGAAAGTCATGGTTCAGTCATATGGACAAGGTCTCATATTTACAAGCCCTTAAATAGGACTTTAGATCCTATTTAAAATGTATTTTCCTTTGTTTCAGTAAGTAAATTTTCTTAGCCTCTTCATAATTAAAACGGGGATTGAAAAATACAAGCTAAGAGGGTTGTTATAAAACTGAATGAGATCATACTCTCTGCAAGTGGTTAGTCTAGTATCTAGCACACAGTAGTTACCCTTATCTAGAATTGCATCTCTGAAGATGAAAATGGGTCCATGGTGAGAGATTTACTTAGACAAATTCCAGAAGTTAGATTTCTTAACCCAGCCAGATCTATCTGTGGAATGTACTGGCTTGGGCCTCATTCACACAATCATAGTTCTGGTGTGAACCCAATTCCAGTTTGATCTCTAGCCTGGATTTCTTCTGGAAACGTGCAGCGGTGTCCAAACAAAATCACAGCACCCTGTGCTTCAAGCTGCTAAGGCTGCCACTTTGCAGAAACAATGACCGCTGAGGTTTGAAAGATGGGAGAGGGGAACAGCAAAAAGCCAGTTCATCCACTGCACCTGGCTCTGGGACACGCTTGTAAAATCTTCGTGTTCTGGATGTCCTTTGGTACAAGGAGCTAGGAAAACAATTTCCTTAAAAACAAACAGATCCCAAGAGATCAAACATTTGGAAAAATTCCTCTGAGATACTAACAGGCCCTGAATATAAACAGCAAGCAAATTTTTTAGCTAAGTCATAATTCATACTCCCTCCAAACAAAACACACAGACACCCCACAACATGTACACATCTCTGAAGAGTCAGCATGGTTCTGAAATTAGGCAAAACACATACTTCATTGCTGCAGCAGGACCCCTTCCGAACCTTCTACTAACACAGCTACTGAACGCTGCTCTCATCCCAGACACGCTTCTCAGATACTCTACCCTCCTTATGAGATCCTGCCAACTCTTCCCCCTGAAAAGATACTTCCTTCTCACAGTTGCACATGAGAAAATTTTCTTCCAATGTACAGTTAGAGAGAAATGAAATTTTAAAACATTCTTTGTTATTTGTGTTTGCTTTTCAATTTTTTTCCTTCATAGAGATGAGGTCTTACTATGTTGCCCAGGCTGGTCTCGAACTCCTGAGCTCCAGTGATCCTCCCACCTTGGCCTCCCAAAGTGCTGGGATTACAGGTGTGAGCCACCATCCCTGGCCTGCTTTACTTCTGTAGTTCAAAGACATTCAATTAGCTACCTGCCATTTAACAGGCATTGTGTTAAGTGCTAAGGAGACACAGGTTAATCAGACACAGACCTGCTTTCAAAGAAGTAAATATAACATGATGCTAGTAAGAATAGTTAATTTTATTTATTTATTTTTTAGACGGAGTCTCACTCTGTTGCCAGGGTGGAGTGCAGTGGTGCAATCTCGGTTCACTGCAACCTCTGCCTCTGGGGTTCAAGTGATTCTCCTTAGCCTCCCGAGTATACTTAATTTTTAAGCTTTCACTCTGGGGCCAGCCTTTACGTACATGAGCACTTCACAGTGACCCATGAGCTAGTTATTAACACTGTTTCCCAGATGTCTTACACAAGCTGAGTCTTACAGCCTTGCATTTTTTACAAGGTTCCAATTCACAACTGAACTAAAATCCATTAACCGTGTAACTACCTCCTGTATGACCTACGAATGGAGTATTGGAGCTCATGCCATTTCTAAATGCCAGGTACCCTGACAATATTTTTGCTTTTTCTAGATACCAGCTAGATCTGGATTAAGAATGTCAAGCTCATTGTTTGGAGTCAACGCAGAACAAAGGACTGGAGCCCAACACATAACAAAGGACCTGGGTCTCTGGCAGAGTCAGGAGGCGCTCAGTCCGTGAGAGTGAACAACGTCTCACGAAGTCATTAACTCAACTGCACGCTGGGAGAGGCGGCACATTTTCCACGCTGTTTGCCCTTCCACAGACCAGCTCTCGGCCTCGGCTGTTTTTGCATTATGTTAAATACCAACATTCTGATTCCACTTGTTGAAGCATCTCTCTCTCCTCTCCTGCTGATCTCATCCCTAAGTCCCCTGGTCCAAGAAGCCTTCCTGGGCCACTCTATGATCGGGCAGCCGCAGGCACTGAATACAGATTCTGAACATTCTCTGCTCATCATTTACCATGTTTCCACCCTCAATGTCACGATTCTCTGAAATCTTGACATTCCAATCCCGGTGCAATTTTTGAACATACCTGTGTCATCCGATTCAGCGCTGACGAGGCTGACTAGCATATTAAGCACACAGCTCAACACAAGTACACGTTTAATATATACTATTAGTTGAAATTAATATAGTAACTAAAGTTACTCTTTTAGATTTTGTGAAAACCAGAAACCCACCCCCCAAGAAAAGGAAAAAAAATAAGGTGATTAAAACTAGATTATTGTTCATTTCAATAAATGAAGAGCTATGTTAAAAATCAGAATTTGAGAAAAACCTAAACTGAATGATTCTGTTAATGAATCAAGATGCCTGTATCTTCCATCTATACTAAGTATTTTTCATTATTTATATTTAGAAAGACTATAACATACTGCTGAATGCTAAGCAACATGCTTTAGAAAATGGCCCTATAATTTCATGCCCTCAATACAAAATGATTATTTTCTATAACTTTCTAGTATTTTGCCAGCTTCATATTTAACATTGTAGCACATGTACGATTTGCCTTTTCTTTTCTGCCACATACTGAATTGTCTGATAATTGTAATTTACTAATCTCTTCCATGTAATTGAATCTTTAGGCTGATGAAATGTTTTTGCTATCACAAATATCAAAAGAGCTTGTGCATATGACATTCCCAATGTTTTAGATGTTTTACTAGGATAGATATCCAGAAGTGGTATTACTGTGTCAATGATTCATAAACTTTTAAATCTCCTAGTAGAGCTTGGCTTTAAATATATATTTACATATTTTAAAATATATAAATACACACACACACACACACACACACACACACACACACACACAGGGTGCTGTCTTAGCTTCATTGCTCTCATTCCAATTCCTATAAAGACACAAAGGCTTTGCTGAAGGGAAGGGGTGCCATCTCTCGTAGATTTCTCTGAAGCCAAGTACCAGCTGGGTGTTTTCACTGCAGATCTGAGCGGACCCAGCACGCAGGACTCACCTTCCCCACGCCCGCTGCCCCTGTGCCTGCTGTTGTGAAGTGGCAGCACCTCCAGGGATGCAATGCCCGCGCTCTCCAGGATATTCACATCCACGCTCAGCCTCCCGGCCAGCTGCTGGGGCCGCACGCTGATGCTGTGCTCATGCTTGCCCAGGCGCCTCTGCAGAAGCTCCTCGTAACTCAGGAAGAAGGCAGCTTTGTCCTTGCTGGGAATCACTGCAGAAGCTCTGAATATTTCAGTCCCCTTTTCTCTGTCAGGAAAAAGAAAAAGGACCTCAGGAAGGTTCAGAGGTGGATAGAACCAGGTTCCCTGAGTCCCCACAGGGCACCAGCCACACCCTCTCAACCAGCGTGCCAGGGAGACCCATGGGTGTGAGTGTGGGTCCTGAGAAAAGAAAAAATGAAAATCAGTTTTGGAAGAAGTAAAACCCCGTGCTCGAGGAGGGTCACCAAGGGTCAAAGAATACTGACCAGGAGAGGACTCTAAGAATACTGGCCCATTCTCCCTCTCCCTGAGACAGACCCAGAGGAGCAATGGGAAAGGAGACTGAGTCGGTGAACTGCTAGAAAGAGAGCTTTGGAGTCAAGCTGTGCATTGTGCTCTTCCTTTACAAGGATGGCCAATGAATCTTGGCATTTTACATAACCTTAAAATAGCTAATATACTAGGTGTTCACACCTTGGTAAAGTTTGGTGGACATGTTTAGTAGGAAATGCAGGGAATACAGAACTCCAAAGTTGATTAAAAGAAAAAATACACTCCAGATGCTTTCCGTACTTCAAGTGAGGGTTCTCGGATTCCAAGTGGCAGACCGACATGGCCACCAGAGGAAGAAGTGCGAGTGGTAACCGTTAGTAGGTGAGATGTTTCAAGAAGTTTCTGGAAGGCTTGGGGTATTCAGTAGAGCAAGAACTTTACAGCTCAGAATGTGCAGGAAAGGATTGCAGCAAAGGAGAGAACCCAACTGTGTGGTAGAATCTTAGAGGGACTGCAGGCTCTGAATTCCAGACACCGCAAGACGGAAGGGAGAAGAGGGACCCAGTATAGAGAGGACAATTCCAACTCCAACAGGACTGAATGACTAAGTGGATTGGCTTTCTATACTGTTGAAATGAAAAAGTGTTGAAATGAAAAAGTTCAAGCACTGAGCAAAATGAATGAAAAGAGACTGAAACTTAAACCTACCACTGTAAAACTTCAGAACATCACATAGAGAAAACATGTAAAAGGGATGTTATCTGATCCCATTAGACGTATCATCAATAATACCGGATGTTATAAAACATTGGAGCAATCCCTTCAAGTTCAAAAGGAAAAGCATTTTGACCTTTAAGTCATACGCAGCCAAAATATTAATCAAGGTCTCAGAAAGTTTACCTCTCATGCACCCATTCTGAGAAAGTTTACCTCAGAATATAACTTCTGCAAAGTAAAGGCGAAAGCCAAGAAAGAGGAAAATGTGGAATACGTGAAATAACAAAACCAACCCAAAAGAAAATGAAAAGAGATACCAGGGTAAAAGTTTTGCATCAAGGCTGAAAAACAATGAAAGTGCTTTATGGATTTAAAGACATACATGTTTTAACAGCTCTGAAATCACAATGTCTCCCAATCAGTGATATCTTTCAACTGCTGTTGGCCAGATATCAGGAGTGACAAGGATGTCAGTGTTGGCAGAAACTTGGTCATAGTTGTTCATTTTGTTATCATTTGAAATGAGTTATATGTCTCACTAGATGTTATATAATAAGAAAAAAGAGAAGCAATTAGAAACTCCAGGAAAAAATAGATACATATGTCATGATTCAGCTAAACTAACCACAGCATAATTCTGAACAATTGTGATAAAGATCACTTGGGACACAGCTATGGTCTAACAGAATTAGGTTTTAATAACTCACCACAGCCAGGGAAACCACATACCACAGGCACCATGAGGCAACTCATCAAACAAAAGAAGAGACAGGGTTATTGTAAGATTAGGGAGAGGACGGAGGATAGGTTAAAGTTAAACAGAGCAGCGTTTGGACAGACTCAAAGCTAAGGCTGTGTGTAAAACCATCATTTCAGCCTGGAATGAGAAGCAGACTCAGGATTCTCTGTGTCCTTAGAAACTACGACATTAAGATAAACTTGGAATTTTCTGCCTGAAAACTCCTTATCGGAAGCTCTGGACCTCGGTTGCTTTTCTGTATCTAAGTGAACCCATGGCTCACGTCTTCCAGACAAGAGTGAGACACTCCCTTGTCACTAATAAAATTTCCAACAGCAAAGTTTCTGGCAGTCTATAATTTTAGAGAATTAAATTTCTCAAAAGGATGTCTTTTTATTCATGAGGAGAATCGGGTTACCAGGTTCACACCGTATTATCTAGATACAAAGATCACTCTCCCGCCGACAGGATGAAGGCTTTCACACCGGGCTGGTGGAGAGGAAAAAATATTCTTAGTGTACTAGGCGGGTCTCCATGCAGTCATGTTATTTACATAGTCATTAAAAAGCTATTGCTCTGTATTGGTTTCAATGTTTAGATTCAGTTCACAGACAAAAAAAAAAAGAATAAAAGTATTACAAGTCAGAATTAAGACGCTAATAACTCAAATAATGATTAGGTAATATCATGAAATGAGAAGAGAGAGAGTCAGTGGAGGTTAGGAGAGGGAATGTCATCATTCAAGATAGTAAGGATGGTCCAAGATAGTCTAAACACTGCAGAATTGATGGAAGAAGAAATAAAATAATATAAAAATCTGAATGCAGAGTAAAAGTAGGAGTTTTGTTAATTTGCTATATACCCTTTCTTTACAGCTAAGAGTCATCAGATAATGTCTTATTTTTATCAAAAACACTTTTTTTGAAGTATGACTATCATACTATTAGAGTTAGGGAGGTAACTACAAAGAAAACCATGTACAGGCCAGGCATAGTGGTTCACACCTATAATCCCAGTACTTTGAGAAGGCTGTGGTGGGAGGCGTGCTTGAGCCCAGAAGTTGAAGATCAGCCTGGGCAATGTAGCAAGACCCCATCTCTACAAAAAAATAAAAAATAAAAATTAACTGGGTATGGTAGTAGGCACCTGTAATCCCAGCTACTTGGGAGGCTGAGGTGGGAGGATCGCTTGAGCCCAGGTGGTTGAGGCTGCAGTGAGCTATGATTGCACCACTGCACTCCAGGCTGGGCAACAGAGTGAGACCTCATTCAAAAAGAAAAGAAAAGAAAACTGCACATAGAAATATTAGAAGGGAATATGTCTAAGAGCTGATAATGAGGGATAGGTATGGTAAAATTTTCCTTTTTGTTACAAACACTTATCTACTATATTATTCACCAGATATACTTATTATTTTGATAAAAAAAAAAGAAAGGGAAAAATACCTGGGGGAAAGGAAGGTAGCAAAATGAGTAGGCAAAGGCATAGAAAACTGACACTTTGCTAAAATGGGTTTTTGATTCTTTAATTAACCAGTACTTACCCATTTTCTTCTGTGGTTTTATTCCTTTTCTCTTTTACCCTATCATCATTCTTCTTCCCTCTCTCTGTAATTTCACCCTGATACACCTTGTCTCCAATAAGCCTGAAACACAAGAGACAGCTGTGCTACCAGCTTGCAGTTCCAAGACAAATTCAGACACGGATCTCATAACCATGACAACCCCAGGAAATATTTTTATTTGCCTCTTGGCTGTGTAGAAAGAATGCATTCCAGACTAGGGCACTACCCATGAAACATTCGTTTCACTCTAGGGCAATTTTCAGCAGGTCCAAATAGCAAGACCCAACCCATGGTGCCACTGTGATTCTCCAGGAGAAAACATAAGATCTGCACACACTCCCATGAAGATTCATCCTCTTACATCTAATCTGGATCAAATATTAAACCCAACACCTACCCTGGTTTGCATATCTTTTCTTCTTGGCTCAGAGGAGAAAAGATACCCAATCTAGTATGTCAAAGTTTCCACGCTGCTTTGTCTTTCAGGCTTCCACTTCACCATGGCCTCCTCAAAGCTATTCCCAGATCTCCCTAACTGAAGATGCCCCTCCCGGTCTGACTTGCCATCTTTATAATATTTGTAACTGTCTGAAATTCATCTCATTCACTCTTTGTTCATTTATCTATTGACTGTTTCTCCCCACTGGAATCTGTGCAGCACAGTGACAGAGAAGTGTACCAATTTCCATGAAGAGTACCTGGCCTATAATGGTCATTCATTTGTTGCAAGGGAGGAGGAAAAGAAAGAAAGAAAAAAAGGAGAAGGAAAGAAGGAAAGAAGGAAGGAAGGAAGGAAGGAGAAAGAAAGAAAGAAAAAGAAAGAGAAAGAAAGAGAAAATAAATGAAAAAAGAAATGAATGAACCAACCAATGAATAAGCAAAAGAGTCGGCCTTCTGATCCATATGCCATCTACTGGAATATAAATCCTCACAGCCACAAGGCTGTGGACCTCACATCATCTCAGGCTCACCCTAACAACTCTACACAGAAATCTTTGTCCTTGACCAGCATGTCACCTACATGGTGAAGTTGGTGATGAACGCTGCTGCTGGAATCTGCATCTGAAACTCAATCTCCTGGTCCTCAGAAGCTCTGTTCAGCATTTTGCAGGAAACCGTAGTGAAGGCATAACGGGATATGATGGTAGACTTCACCGAGAATTCTGTCATCAAGGGTTTGGTTTTCTGTAGGAATGAAAACACACAGTATTATCGGTGTGGCATGAAAGCATTTTGGTGGTAGGAGAACGTCTTTTTTCCACAAGGGAAATAATCTTCAGATTGGGAGCCTTTGGCATGTGATTCCTGTCTCCTTTCTGCATCTCGTCCTGATTTCACCATTTTTAACTCCCTTCCTTTGTAAAACAACCTTGGTTGTTCTGCATAAACAGTAACACATAAACAAATCTTTTAACCTAACTTCAACAAGGGAGCATAGTGAAGATGTCCAATTTAGCAGAAAATACACATCCTTTAAACAGTTTAATCAATTATTAGAATTTTAAAAGTAAAGTATGTACTGTATATAATATTCTGTTAACACTTTTAGATCACATTTACAGGACTACTGAAATGTTGCAAAAAACAAAACATGACTAACAAAATTCTCACGTTTTAAAATTAGTTTCAATGCCCACTTAGATAATTGATACACCCGAGCTTCCCTATCTGAATTACAATCATGTTACTGTGAAATAGGAAACAATACTGAACTCAGCAGAGTATCTGGAGAATTAGAACCCAGAAAAAGGAAAGCCTAACTCTGTGCCAATTAAATTTATCCCAAAAGCCTCTGATAAGAGCAGTAAATAGAAGTGATGTAAAAGCCTGTTAAATCTCTACAGGGTTTTTTCTAACCCTCACAGCAGAGCTACATCTGATGACAGCTGGTAGCAGAAGGCTGAAGAAAGAAGAAGACATTTGTAAGGAAAACCACAAGCCACTACTAACAGAGCGATTATCTAACATCAGGAACTGGCCAAGCAATTGACAAGCATATTATGGACTGTATCCTCCTAAAACGCACATGTGGAAGCCCTAACCCACTGTGGGAGGCAGTGGGGTATGGGGAAGGCAGTATTTGGAGGTGAGTGCCTCTGGGAGTAATTAGGTTTAGATGAGATCACGAAGGTGAGGTCACTAGGATGGGATTCATGACCTTAAGAGAGGAGAGGATACGTAAGAGAGCGCTTGCGCTCACTAACGCGCTCTCTCGCTCACGCCCGCTTTCTCTCTTTCTCCATCTGCATGCACCAAGAAAGACCACATGGGCACACGTTGAGAAGGCAGCCATCTGCAAGCTATGACAAGAGCCCTCATCAAAAACCAAGCCCTGCAGAACCTTAGTCTTGGACTTCCAGCATCTAGAACTTTGAGATAACAAATGCCATGTTCTTTAAGCCACATGGTCTATAGAATTTTTGTTACAGAAGCCCAAGGAAACTAAAACAAGACATTACCCTGTGACACTCTTGGAAGACATGCAGTAGGTATTTTATTCCCATTTCATAGATGGAGGGAAGTCAAGCTTAACAAAGGCACATATTGGTCCATGCCAGCAAGCAATGGACGTGGGACTTGAACCCAATCCCACTTACTTCAAAGTCTGCACTGGCTACTCTTATGCAAGGCTACCTGGCTGCCCTCTGCAGACAAGTCCTACTCATCATTCTGTACTCAACCCCATCCTGGCCTTTGGCACAGGTTCTCAAAACATGCTGAATGCAACTGGCTTATGCTAATAAGATTCTACTCTCTCCTTCAGAAACTGCGGCCTAGCTAGACAATTTTTATTTCAACCCTCATCTGCTTTATTAATTTATTTACAGCTTTAGGTTTGTTTTCAAAACAGATATAAAGCTGTGACCTGTTGCTATCAAAGACATATTCCTGCTGTGACATACAAAATCATCACAAACCTTGCTTCAAAGGGGTTACTACAGAGGGTTATTCTATTTAAAGAAACACTTACTCAAAAAGTTTGCATCAAATCATGCTCTGCATGCAAACCACGAAGTTTGAGAGATATTTTCTATAATGTATTAGAGAAGTGGCTACAAACATCAAGCGCGCCGGCTGGGCGTGATGGCTCACACCTGTAATTCTGACACTTTGGGAGGCCGTGGTTGGCAGATCACCTGAGTTCAGAAGTTCAAGACCAGCCTGGCCCACATGACAAAACCCCGTCTCTACTAAAAATACAAAAATTAGCTGCATGTGATGGTGCATGCGTGTAGTCCCAGCTATTCAGGTGGCTGAGGCAGGAGACTTGCTTGAAGCAGGAAGGCGAAGGTTGCAGTGAGCCAAGATTGCACCACTGCTCTCCAGCTGGGGTGACAGAGCAAGAGCCTGTCTCAAAAAAAAATTATATATATAAAGCACAGCTGAGGATGGACTCAAACACCCGTAAGACAGGGAGCTGCAAGGGTTGGAGCCATGCACATGCGCAGGGGAGAGGTTGGGCAAGTGCTCCATGCAAAAGCGTTAGGGCCGTTCATCTTTGTAGCAGGTTGTGCAAGAACTTCCAGTCTTAGTGACTGAAAAAAGCCAAAGACAAATGGGACAGCTTAAGGAAAGTGTTAGGGGATATGCATCTTCCTTAGACAGCCAGAAGAAATAGACATGTACAATTCATTTAAGTAACGATCAAGTTAAAAACAAATCTGAGCATAGTGGGAATATTTTTGCCTAAAAGAGGAAAAGAAACCTTGCAGTTTGGTCTGAGAAGGATTTACTTCAAAGCAGCGCTTCTCAAAGTGTGGTCCTCAAACCAGGGGCATCACCATCACCTGGAAACTTGCTGGAGATTCTCAGACTCCATCTAAACTCACAGAATCAGAAATTCAGTGGGTGGGCCCAGCAAGCTGCAGTTTAACAAACCGTCCAGGTCATTCTAGTGCCTGATCAAATCTGAGAATGACTCTTTTAAGTAATTGAACTTTAAAACATATGTTTCTTCATCTGCAAGTGAAGAGGGCTTAAACAAATCACTAAAATTACATCCACATCTGTGATCCACAGATTTAAGGCAAAGCTAAAACTAAGGAATAAAATCTTCAGGTTTAAGAAATTATGTCTGAATTGAGAAGTTTGATTATACAGTATGATTTTATGGAAATCTAGTCTCTTTAGGACAAAATCTGTCTCTCTCCCCAAAAGCGATTAGGATTAAAAAAGAAACTCAACATGTAGTTTTACCAAATGTTTCTGTGAAAGGATCTCATTAAAAACATTCCATACATTTCAGTAAAGGCAATGAGGATTAGGCTGGGGGTGGTAACAACAAAGATCTTAGCAGCATGACAACCTGTGGGGTTTTTTTAAAGTTAAAATTTGTATCTCATTATCGTTCAAAAAAAAAAAGTACCCCAAAGTGAATAAGACCATGAATTGACATGAAGTGTTTACTTTGATCTGTGTTATTTCTGGAAACAGGTTTTCTGTCTAAATTATCCGTGATTAAATATGTTATTTTATCTCCAAATCTAAGCTGGTATATAAGAAATGGCCCAGGGCTGTGATCTTGTGAATTTGTGAAGAATTTAAAATACCACTGCACACAGCTCTGATTTCTACAGATGCTTTGGAAAGTAAATAGGAACTAATACTTTTTTAAAATCCTATGAACTCAGTATATTCTAGCTTTATCATTCTCTGCTTTATTTAAAATTTAAACTGGTTTTTAAAAAATTATCAAGTAACATATGCACATGGTAAGAACTTCTAATTATGGTGAATAAAAAATGAAAATAGCAGTCTCCCTCCCACCCTGGATTCACAGTTCCATTCCCCAGAAACAATATTTAACAATTTTTGTATATCCTTCCATAAATATATACTACACGAATTGGCTTAATCTCACCTAACGATATATATAGTTAGTTCATCTTACTTATGTTTTAGCAATTTCATGCTGCTTAACAAATCACTCTAAAACTCAGTGGTTTAAAACAGCAGCAATCCTCATATTTTCTCTTGGGGTTTCTGTGGGTCAGGAATTTCAGAAGGGTTTGGCTAGGCGGTTTGGCATCTCTACAGAGGGTGGCTGAAGCTGGAACTGTGAGTTGCTGAGGCAGCCAGGGCTGGCACCTCTCCATCTCATGTTGTCCCCAATTCCCTCTATATGGTCCTTCCAAATGGGCAAATGTAGATGAACTCACAGCATGGGCCACTGCACATGAGTCAGGCTGGTCACCTGGTAGCCACAAGCTTCACTGGTCACCTGACAGCTTTCCCAACAGTGAGGTGGAAGCTAGATGCCCTGTCATGCCCTGACCTCAAAAATCACAATGTATTACTTCTCTCATACTCTACTGGTTAAAGCAGTCACAAAAGCACACTCAGTTTCAAAGACGGAGGGCACAGACCCCCATCTCCATTGGAGGAATGGCACATCGAAGTGCCTCCATCTTCGGAAAATACAATCTGCCACTGAAAAAAATATCTATCTCCTTCCTTTTTAAAAATAGCTGCATAGTATTACATTGTATGGATGCATTAAATTTTAATTACCCAGTTCCCCCAACATCCATCAACACTTAATAATCATTTTAAATTTTTGGAACATCCTTTCAGATGGCCCTGCTCTCTCATTCATCTGTAGCAGGAGTAGGCAAGCTATGTCAGGTGGGCCACACTGTTTTGTAAATAAAGTTTTATTGAAACACAGCCATATTCATTTACATACTGTCTATGTCTGCTTTTCTGCTACAATGTCAGGAAAAAACATGGAGAATAACTCAGCTGAGCTCAGCTGCTCTTGCCTAGGAGCCCGCCCATGAGGGAAGATGCACTGCCACCTCCAGAGCAGCCATCTGCCAACTGAATACCCCAGAGCAACCTCCAGCAACACCACAGGCCAGAAGAATCACCCAGCTGAGCCCTGCCTAAATCCTTTCCCACCAAATGATGTGATAAAATGATTGTTGCTCTAAGCCACTGAATTTTGTGGAAAATGTTTGTGCAGCAATAGAAAACTGGAACACCTGCCTAGTTTCTGTAGACATTTGAATTTGCAACACCACTTCAGTGTGACTTGCTGAATTTAACTCAATTTTAGTTAATTAGTTATTCAGTTATTTCCAACTCTACACCAGTTCTGATCTTTACATACTTTGTTATGTTTTGTAAACTAGACTTTCCGCATATTAAAAATATCCTTGAAATTTTTTGGAAAATGTTAAATT